ACTCCTCGGAGATAAGTAGGGCTGCCGTCGTTCAGCACCTGAAGCCCGTGCTCTGATGCGAGATCAACTAGGTCCGTGCCTTTTCGATTTGTCCTGATGCTTCCCCACAATGGATGATGGGCGTTGAAGTCGCCCATCAATATCCAAGGCGCTGGAGTCGTTGCAAATATACCATTCAAGATTTGTTGATCTAGTCGACCTGACGGCGCTATATATGCGCCTATCAGTGTAAACGACAACTTCTTTTTAACATATAGACACACGTAGTGATTTCCATTGTGAGAATCTACTCTTTGGAGAACGTAAGTGAGTTCTTTACGGATGTACACAGCAACTTGACCTCGCTCAATGCACGTTCAAGAAACGAACGGTTCATAGCCCGACAGACGAGGTATTTTTGAAAAATGCGGTTCACAAATGATGATGATGGGAAACTTATTTTCGAAAATGAATTGTCGGAACTCAGGCATTCTTGACTGTAGACCTCTTGCGTTCCACTGAATTATGGAAGCACGCTTGACTTTTTCTCGGAAAAGCTGATGCGGTCTATGGTGCGCCATCTTGTTACTGAAGTCCGGCAAGAACAGGTTCTAGTGTGTCCAAGATTTGCAGCGCGCATTTAGCGGCAGGGATCTGTGGACTATCCAATAGAGTGCGAATAACACTCATGAACGACCTCAGTACAGAAAAGACTTGTACCTCTTGGGCGGACAGACTGCCTGCTGGGGGCATATTCGTTGTTGATTGTCGATATTGCGGTTCCGTAGACACGTGTACCCGCGGTAAAGTGGGCCAGTCAGAGCCGGATGTTCTCTGTAGCGCCACAGTGTCTTCCGGTACCTCTGGACGTACCCCACCTGGTGGCGGGGGCGGGGGAGGTCTCTGTGGTCGTGGCGGCGGTGGTGGTGGCGGTGACGGCGTTAGTGAAGGCACCTTCGGCACAGGATTGCTTTTTCTTTTCTTCGAGCACCGCCGTCGACGGGAACGCCGTCGTTGAACAACCGTTACCGCTTCCTTTCGTGAGGATCCGTCTTTAACGTATATTAGAAATAACAAAAGGCCAAGGACGGAACCCTGAGGGACACCTGATGTAACTGGAATAAAGTTGGAGAGCTGATCATTTACAAGGACAGATTGGGAACGGTTATGTAAAAATTCTTGGATCGAGATTAAGACTGCGGGGTGTAAGTTTAAGTGGGAAAGTTTCAGTAACAGGCGTTTATGAGGTACCTTATCAAATGCTTTGGTGAAATCTAGAAATATGGCGTCGGTTTGAAGGTTATTATCGAGATTGGAATGAAGGTCATGAACAAAAAGTGCTAGTTGAGTTTCGCATGAAAACCCTTTTCAGAAGCCATGTTGCACAGGATGAAAAAAATTAACCTTGTCAAGAAAAGTGATGATGTGAGTGAATATGCCGTGTTCCATAATTTTGCAAGGCACTGAAGTTAATGAGATGGGACGATAATTAAAGGCGAGTTTTTGTTACCAGCTTTGAAGACTGGAATGACCTTCCCTTTTTTCCAATCGTCAGGCAGTGTGCCTGTGGCAAGTGACTGCGAAAACAATAAACATAAATATTCGGCACAGACATCTTCAGTGTTTTTAAGGAACTTGGAGTCAATATTGTTTACACCCGCGGAGGACGACAGTTTTAGGTTGTTAATTATAGATATTATACCAGACACGGAAATTGTCATGCGTGGCATCAAGAGTTCGATAGTGGAAGTCGGCATGTAAAATGAAAGGTCTGTTTCTTTTGTGAACACTGATCCAAATGCGCTATTAAAGATGTTTGCACAATCAACGTCACACAGGTCTGCCGGCATCGTTGGTGAAGTTAGTAGACTGCGTGGGGTGAGGGTTGATTATTTCAAAAAACTTGCGTGGGTCACTTTTTAGAATGGTCGGCAAGTTATAGTTATAGAAAGAGTGTTTTGCTTCGCATATCTTTCCTAGGTAGTCATGTTCGGCTACATAGTATTTTTTATGCGCATTGCCTTCCCTTCTGTTTGGCTGAACGAAAGAGGCGTTTCTTTTTGTTTTCTAGGCGTTTTAGTGTTTTGGTGAACCAGGGCTTTTTGAGTGTCGGTCTGGAAATTGAATGTGGGTATATGTTTGCTCACAAGATAATCCACTTTGTCCGCAAACAATTTCCAGCTATCTTGCACTGATCTATTTTGGAAAAGTGATTCGAAAGATGGAAAGAGCGGAGTTCATCAATGATAGCTGTGTAATTTCCTTTGTCATAAAGACGTATAATTTTTTTTTTACTTTTCTGACGAGACACCGGTTTGAACGTAAACTCAGCATGAACTACCTTGTGATCGCTAATTTCTGGAAGATATGAAATGGACGAAAGGCTGTCAGGGTGATCTGTTAATATTAAGTCAAGGGTATTGGCGCACGTTTGAGTTACGCGAGTTGGTTCAGTTACAAGTTGGGTTAAGTTAAAGTTAAGGCACACATCAAGAAAGTCGTGCGCTTCGGGTTCTCCTGACGTCAAAGTAATTTGGTTTACCCAGTCAATGAGAGGATGATTGAAATCCCCAAAAAGAAGAATGCGGGCGTTAGGGTATGCAGTAGTTAAATCATTTAACGTGTCGTTAAGTTTACTAGCAAAGTCGGGAGTGCTGTGGGGAGGTCTATAACAGGCACCAATTAAAACAGTTTCAGGAGTGGCATGGCAAAGAAGCCATATAATTTCGAGGTCAGTCTGAATGTTAAGCGCATTACAAGAAATATCTTTGCTTATTGCAATAGCCACGCCCCCGCCTCGCCTGTTTATACGGTCCTTGCGAAACACTGTAAAATTTCGAAGGTCTGTGAGAACTTCATGGTCGCTAATGTCACTGTATAGCCATGTTTCTGATTAAACTAGTATGTTGCTGCTCGACGAGGAAACAAGATTAGAAATGACGTCTCGCTTTGGAAGAAAACTGCGTATATTAGCAAAAATAACTGATAGCGAAAGTAGTGGGCGTGGAGTGGATCTGGGGCCATGACGCGCGTTTGGATTGCGAGGAACTAGCTATAGTAATTCTTTAACGGTTTGTGACGATTCCTCAAATATGTAGCGTTTCTTGCCCATGCGTAGTGTTTTGAAGGTCAACATAAATGGACATGACTGGGACCTAGCGAAAGCGATAAGATGCCTGCAAGCAATTCGAACTGTTGCGGAAAAGTCTTCGCCAACGCTGTAACCGGTGTTTTTAAGTTTGCGGCCGTTTGAAAGAATCTTGTTCTTTGTTTTAAAAGTATTGAATTTTACAATTATCGGCCTTTACAATTATAGACCTTAAAAAAAGGGAACTTTTTGAGATAGACTTCCACATTTCTCGCCAGAATGTACCCACTAGAAACACTAAACAAGAATTGTGAAAATAATATTCAAACTACAAATCAAATCATTTACTGCCAGCGACTCTTCTTCAGCCTGGCATGCAACTTTATATTCTTTAGTTTCTTTGTTGCAACTTTAGTTTCTTTGTTCTAGGTAGCAAAGCCGCACAAAACCAGAGCAGCAGGCAAAAGGAGGAATTAACCTGGGAAACGAAGATAAATAGGCTTAGGACAGTGCGTCCGTCCGCCACCACCGATGCTGCCTTATTTCCCAATTTCCAGGTAGCCGCTAGGAACACTACAAAGTACAGTTCATCCAGGGCGTGACGTCAGATCATACGAATTTGGCGGTCACTGAGAAACGAATATAAAAAGGGTTAGGACTGTGCTTCCATGCGCCACCACCACTGCTTCCCCATGACAGCAAAGCACATGCGAAGGCTAAGAGTTGGGCTAGAGCAGGAAAGTAATAGAGGACAGGGTGGCGAACGGCTGGATTGTGCGCATCTGGCTGGCATTGAAAAAATTGAGAAGGTGCTGAGAGAAAAAACTATCTCAGAATGTGCACTGTATAAACACTGTCACTTTATTTCTAAAGGGAACACGTGAGTGCGTGGTTTGGGCGCTCTGGTGGCTGACTTGCACTGCGTTTATTATTTATTATGTTTATTTCATTATTCGTCCCCAGAAAATACCCATTAATTTTTAATTTCGGGGTGGGGGTGGGGGCGAAAGCACCCTCCTTCTTTAGCTATGGGCCTGCTGCACACCATTAACCACACCTATAGGCATTATCCTTGCCCCTTCAAAGTCGTGTACTGAATCCTGTTATCATGCAGCAGTGCTTACGTTTTCTAGACAAGATGATGTCTGAGTGTGTGCCTTACCGTAGCACAGGAACGCAGTTAAAAGTCCAGCGTTCTGCGCGCTCTGCAGCTTGCAGTGCGATAATACGGGTGCTTTCCAGATTTCGCAGCCACCATGGTGTTGTTCCGTCACATGAGCCCAACACAATAAATATTTATGAGAATCTATATAAAGGAGGAAGGTCACCACATGTGTGCCACATAACTACCACTAATAGAAAAAGAGGTGTCTTTTCTGGACCACATCCCCTAGTATCTTAAAGGTTTTGGCAGGCATGTCTTATCACCTCACCTTGGTGCAAAGCTAACTTCTTAAGCAATTGATGTGTGGCGTATGTCATTGTGTAATGTTTTCTGCAGAATCAACACATGCGTGGCCCTCTCTATGTCTATTTCTTCCGTTTTCCTTTATTGTTCTTTACCTGGAAGTGAAAGGTTTTGTTGTATTGTTCTTCTTTTGTCTCCGTCGTCAGTGCGTGCTCTCCTGTAACGATGAGCAAATCTGAACTACCTGCTAGCAAAACTTAACCAGGATTCCTTCGCATAACTTTGTGGTTTCCGCACTTAAATATTCACGGGGAAAATCTTTAGCAATGTGTGCTATAAAATATACAGATATTTTACCATCAGGTTTGACGGCTCTTTCCGTTTTTTGTTTTGAATTTTCGCTAACTTCATGTAACCGTTAATATAACCTGAAGTTGCTTTGGTGCATTCCCACTTCCAGGCAGTTTCGCAGTGGTAAGCAATCACAAGCGGAAGCTCCTATACACATGTGATATTAACTCGCAGATCTCGTCGCTGATCCTGCTAGCATGCTGCCTCGCGCTAGCTTCAAGCCATGCCGGGTTGGAACACGCCACAGAGCAACACGTGTATGCGGGCGGAGAAGACTTCCCACATGGCTTTGTGGTGCGTACCATCCACGAGGGAGAAGACCTACACGGCCATCGGGGCCGAGGCTACGGCCATGGCCATAGGGACTACGTGAATGAACCGGAGTACGTGGTGCGCAGCCCGTATGGTGCCCTTCTTCAGCAGTCAGAATCGCAACACATGTACGCCACCGGTGCGGCGTTAGGCCTCGGAGGAGCCTTGGGTCACGAGCATGCACACTTCTTTCCGGGGCACATGAGTGATTACCTGATGGCAAGATGAAGTCTCCAACCTGGCTGTGGACAAACTGAATGTAATAAGCTCGTTCCCGTGTAACGGCATTGAACTTTTTTACTATGTTGTAGGAAAGGAGTGGTCTTGTTGTTAGGTACATAATCTGGTTAAAATATGTGGAAGAGTGTTTTAGTACCAACCGTGTTCTGCTCCCAAACGCGAAACCTTCCAAGCATGGAAAAGTTGGGTACAGCTATAATTAGAGCTGTTATGAACATTAGAATTCGTAAGACACTGAAATGTAGAGATCCTCAAGAACCGAATATTGGTTGAACATATAGGAATCCCAGGTAGTTGAAATCATCGCGAAGCGCTAAGTCTACCCCCCCCCCCCCCGTGTAAGCCTTATAAGGCATGCTTGTTTTAAAAGTTTATATTGCAATTTGTTTATAGAGGTATGCTAAAAATCTGACGTTATTTTTCTTTGGTGGTGTGATGGTGAAAAAACCTTCTAAAAGTTTAAGGTGACTCACTCGATGGAAGTCGCAAGCTTCTCTTATAAAAATTTAGAAACAATCAGTAAATGTCTATAGTAAATATGATGTTGTTCCGTCAATTGACCCAATCACGGGAAATATTTATGAGAAGCTCCATATAAAGGAGAAAGGCCACCGTGTGTGTGCCACATCACAAGCACTAATAGAAAAAAGGAATTTATGTTGGTCATTTACAATGCAATAGAGATGATTTTACTTTAATTAACATGTTACTACCATGATTCAACTAGCCATCAGTCCTCCGGGGACATTGATTTAAGTGAGAGTTTTACTTGGCAAATTGTACAACTAGGACATGATCAGAAAGCCGCGACAATAAAGCAGCAGTCGAAAGTTGACACTGAGCTAAATAATTTTTTTTCAAAGAATGACTGATGCCGAGGGAATTTTATCCTGTGCCTTTTTGCAACTCACAACGCCTTGCAGCTGAGAGCGCTATTTTTTTACCACCTTGAAGCCTACGATACAGGTAATTGTGACACTGTGCCCATGGTTGGTTTTTGCCTGATTAAGGAGAAACCGCCACATCTGATGCATCTCGGCAAGCTAATGCCACATTCCCTCGATTGTCCTATTAGAATATAGTGAACGGCAACGCTCTTATGGCGAAAATACAACCCCGCCTCATTTTTAGGAGAACGCTCAACTATCAACTCGATGTAGAAATATTGCGTACAAATTTTTGTGGCACTCGGAAAACTACTGTTCTCGGTTAGGAAAGTGATACCATAGCGTCTGAAAGTTGTGTCACCATGACGGTTCACTCACCGGAATGTGCAAGAAACGCTAAATAAATTCGAACTCCGAAAATACAGCTTAGGTGAGCAATCACATCATGGCCCATTTGTCGCGATACGTTGTCGCGACCTAGAAGCTGCTGAACAACAGTCGAAAACATATTAAGTCAGTACCACGATAAATCACACTTGACCGCAGCCCTTTGAAACACACTTTTTGACAAGTCACGTTCTCGCATTTACACATATTAAGAATGTCATTAATGCCCACGTAATTTGCCACGTGGCCAGTTTTGTATGCAGGCAAAAGTGGCAGATCCCACGTACAGTGGGAATCAGTGATATGCGAAGCACGATTGAGGAAGCTTGGTATATGGCACTTTCAAATCAGCACAACATTAATATGCCGTAAATGCCGCAAACTGTGCCGTAAATCACATCCGTGTCATGATTATCATGTTCGAACGTGTCATTTACCTTCATTTATTCACGTCAAAGGGTACTAAGTTTAATGCGCATGAAGCTAACGAAACGGCCACGAGCACGCTATGAGCGTAGCATTTAGCCGTGTTTTTACGTGACACGCCTGTCATGATCATCTCGGTTTGGACGTGTCAATTACCACCGTCATCCATTTATGTCACGTAATGACAAATTTTCTATATGTGAAGCTAGAAAACGGCCGCGAATACATCATGAGTGTAGCATGTAGTCATGTTTTACATGACGCACATGTCATGATTATCAAGTTTCGAAGTGTCATTCACCTGCGTCGTCGATTCGCGTCACGTAATGCCAAATTTGGTATATGTGAAGCTAGTGAAACGACCGCAAGTGCGCCAAAAGTGTGGCATGTAGTCATCAATTACATGATATGCAAGTCATGGTTTCCACGCTAGGGTGCGTGACTTGTGTTCGCCATGTAGTCACGTAATACCATACTATTTCTGCAGTATGACTTGTGAATGAAACCACCACAAGAGCAGCAAGACCATGAAATTTAAATCATGACATTCATGACGTATATGTTATGATTTTCATGTTATGTCTTGTCACTTATGCTTGTCATACAGTCATGTTGCCGTAACGATTTCGGTATCTATAACTTTACCGAAACGGCCAGGAGAGCTAAAAGTCGTAGACGGCTGGATAGATAGATAGATAGATAGATAGATAGATAGATAGATAGATAGATAGATAGATAGATAGATAGATAGATAGATAGATAGATAGATAGATATGCTCAAATTCACCGAAGGTCGCTAATAAATGCTTCGTATTTAAAAGTAAATACCAGACAGAGTGGCCAGGAGGATATTAGCCATCGCAGCTCTACGGCCATTGCACGTTGCCTAAAGGTTGCAGGTTCATCCCTTGGCGGTGGCAAGTTGCTTTTTTGTACACTTTACTTTCTTGACTTTCATATGATAATTACTACAATACAGTTAAAAGACTACAAATAACGATCCTATATCATTCTTCACTTCATTGTCTGTTAGCTTTCATTCACTTCGTTTTGCAACTTTAACTGTGTTCCGTAAAAGAGTGATGATGTTCTTCATTACTGTCACTCCCATTTGCAGGCTGCTTCTAGAAGATGCCACGGGACGCTGACAACCACCTCCTTAGGAGTGTCTGCAACGCCACCTCATGCAGAATCGACCTAATATACTTGCCATAAAGCACCATCATATTTTGTAATATAGAAATCATCAGTCATAACAAAGCTCTCTCTGTTGTTAATAAACTTTCAGCTCGTTAGTTTCATATTTCTTTGTTCAACGTGTCACTATGGTTAAGCTAATGACGGTCGCTATTTACGTCCCGTGGTTAAGGAGATGAAATAACAATTTTCCCACTCATGCAAGCTCTGTGTTTCAAGCAGCTGTTTGGGAAACTAACAGCGCGCTTTAGTGAGTCCTTAGTGGTGTTAGGTAATGAGAATCAAAGTATATAAAGCGACTCAAAAGGCTGGTCGAGGGAAGTATGAGCGGGTGTGAGCAAGTGTAGGTCGTTACATGAATGTTGTTCTATCGTGCATTGGTGACAGCACAACAATGCACGCACTTTCTACTTGCCACAGGATTGAAAACGAAAAGATCCACAAAATTTCAGACAGCAACACTACGTCGTGAACTCTGCCTAAAAGCTGAACTGTTGGCATGATATTGCCTTTTTATTGCTTGACTATGTTCTATAGGTGTTTTCCCACAGTCTTCACGCTTTAGCGAGTATTCGCCACCTCAATTCAGTGAAGCTGCTTCCAATTTGAAATAGACAGCGTTCAGTGAACTAAAGGTGAGTAGTTGGGGTTCTTCAATTTCTGCTAAACAAGGCCGTTGGGCAAATTATATATAACTTAATTTCTTAGGAGGCCCCAAATGAGTTCTGTGTCTTGCCTAAATTTTGTGGTGCATACTGGATAGAACTAGTTTGTTGGAGGCAAAAGCCTGGCATCTAATGGCACACTACAGCGAAAAATTACACAATGGGCGAAAGGAACATAATTGGTGATATCTGATCGCCTTTTATTATTTCGTTGGTTGTACAGATGTGCCGCGTAGGAGTTGGGAGTTATAAGTAGAGATGACTGCTTGGATGTGACCTAGTGTTCGGTGGTATGTGCGACCAAATCACCCCGTAAAACAAAGGAAATTATTATGTGGTTCAGAATCGTGCACATACGTTGTAGCTTTCAAATCTGTATTTTCACAAAATATAGTACCAAATTTGTCATATATATATATATATATATATATATATATATATATATATATATATATATATATATATATATATATATATATATATCTATATACTGTTGCATGCAGAAAAGATAACCAACACTGACCACAAACTGATGCGAGCAGCATACCCTCGTCCAGGTCGCTTCTACATCCTCCCAAAAATTCATAAACCCGGTAACCCAGTTCGACCAATCATATCACGCATCGGTACAATAACTGAACCCATATCATGCTACGTGGACAAACTAATAAGCCACATTCCATGCACCCTCGCGTCGTACATAAAAGACACCACACATTTTCTTCGAGACATTGCAGGTCTGTGTGTGCCGAAAAACTCTTACTTGGTTACTCTTGATGTCTCTTCATTATATACAAATATTCCTCACGATGACGGCATAGCTGCATTACAAAAGATGTACACAAACCATAGACAATCTAACACCCCAGATTTCTCTGCCATTGCAAATTTGACGAGGATGGTCCTCGAATTAAATTCATTCGAGTTTAACCAAGAGTATTTTCGACAAATCAGCGGGACCGCAATGGGCACCAAAATGGCACCTAATTATGCCAACATATTTATGGGAAAGCTAGAATCTGAATTTCTTGCACAAAGTTCCTTGAAACCAATGTTATACAGAAGATACATAGACGATATCTTTCTTATTTGGACCCACAGCGAGGAAAAACTTCTCAGCTTTATCGACTCTTACAATGCTGTACATCCGAACATACACTTCACACACACATACTCGCAAGTAACCGTAAATTTTCTTGATGTTACCATAACGATAGAAGAAGAGAAGCCCTCTACAACTCTATATCGCAAACCAACGGATTGACAACAATACCTCCATTACCAAAGCGATCACCCACGCCGCTGTAAAAACAGCATTCCATACCAGCCAGGCTCACCGGTTCAGGCGAATCTGCTCTAGAGACGCTGACTTTGACACGAGCTCACAGAGGCTAAAACTTACGTTCGAGAAACAAAAATATCCCCCACATGTAATTAATGACGCTGATCAAAAAGCGAGAAAACTAAAGCGTGAAGACTTACTTATGAAGCGACCACCACAAGAAAACCCACAACGAACAAACCTCTGCTTGACTTACAGCACAAACTTCCCCAATGAAAACAAAATCCTTAAACGACATTACAACATTCTGGAACAAAGTGAACGTCTGAAACGCGCATTCCCATCCGCTCCAGGCGTCGTTTACTGACGACCACGTAACCTCAAAGACACCCTTGTCCACTCTCAAATTAACACATCACCCCCCAATAATTCATGCCGACCTTGTTTAAAGCCACGATGTCCTGTATGTAAGGCGATGCGAGAAACAGACAAAGCAACCAGCACACAATCCAAGTTTTCGATTAACATACGAGGAAACCTAACATGCGATTCCTCTAATGTGGTATACCTACTCGAATGCAACGTGTGTGGTATGCAGTACATCGGACAAACAGAAACACCATTTAGGATTCGCTTCAATAATCACAGAGCCCATGCGAAATCAGCCCCAAGTCTACCTCTATCAAAACATCTCGATCTTCCCGACCATGCATTCGACAAACTATCAGTAACGCTCTTTATAGACGGGATTTAAATCAAATCGAGAACGTGAACGTGAGTCATACCTTATCCACCGATTTAACACCCTCGATAGAGGAATAAATGAGAATCCTGGTACACTTGCAGCAAATAAAGCATTAGAAAACAATAACGGCAATAATGAAAATAGTAACTGAGTTCACGGCACTGCAGCTGCGAAGGGCACTGGACAACCCAAACCAATTCCAAGTGTAACTACTCTTCCTAAGTGCAGCTTTCGTCTGTTTTCTGTTTTATTTTACTACCCAATCAATTGTGCCATGCATGACATGCCCAACAGCAACCCTGTGCACAGCCGGGAGGCCCCCACTACACGCGTAATCCAGAAGCGGGCAAGGAATTCGCATTGCGCCCGCTTACCCGCCTCTGCCGCAATACGGGGCACCCCTCTTTTTACGACGAAATGTTGACGAGACTCCGAGTAGTTAAAGGCTTAGAACTTCCTAAAAAAGCTTTTTTTGCCCCACACCGAACCGCCAGTGCCAGGAGGCGCCGTCTGGTCGGGAAGAATGCGTTAGTGAAAGGAAGCATACACAGACCACTGACATCAGGAAGGTGAAGGGGAGAAGGGGGAGAGAGATGAAAGAGGAAGTGGAAGGAAGAGTGGAAGGGGGGCGCCCAAGGGGAGTCCACCGTATATTATTTTCATCTTCTTTTTTCTTCTTTTTCTTTTCTTTTCCTTGGTTTCTTTTTTCTTTTTTTTTTCTTTTTTCCTTTTCTGTCTTTTTTCCTCTTTCCTTGCCCTCTGATTTGAGATTGTATAAAGCTGAGCACCAACAAACTGTACCTTTAATCCTGATGAAGGCCAGACTCCAGGCCGAAACGTCGAATAAACCACGTTGTGACCGCTCACGGAGCATCTACTGAACTATATATATATATATATATATATATATATATATATATATATATATATATATATATATATATATATATATATATATATATATATTATTATATATATATATATATATATGACGCTTCACAGGTGAATGTGGCGAAGAAAGATGAGGAAGACGAAGGGTCAGAATAAACTCCACCATCGCAACAAGCTGCTTTGAGAGAGGTGCTTCACAATTACGAAAACATTTTCTCAAAGTCTCAGATGGACTTCGGATGTATCGCGGAGGAACGACACTGCATTGCCCTCAGCAACAACGTGCCTATCTACAGACCACCGTATCGATGCTCCCTGGCAGACAAAGAGGAAATTGTCAAGCAAGTGGACTTACTTCTCAAGCAACGTGTAGTGCGTCCATCTTTTTCCCCATACGCGGCTCCAGTCATTCTTGCCGAGAAAAAAGGTGAAGGACGCACACGTTTATGCATTGATTATCGAAAGCTTAACTCTGTCACTGTGCCTGACTACCAACCTATTCCGCGTATAGACGATGTTCTAGACTACCTGGGAAAATCGAAATATTTTTCGACATTGGATATCACATCAGGCTATTGGCATGTCAAAATGAACCCAGAGGACATCCCTAAAACAGCTTTTGTCACGCCGAATGGCCATTATTAGTGGCTTGTTATGTCTTTCGGTTTGAGAAATGCTCCTGCTACATTCGAAAGAGATGTGAAATCAGTTATCAGAAAACATAACTTAAAGATTGTCGCTAATTATTTTGATGATATCGTAGTCTTCTCCGACACATTTACTGAGCACCTACAGCACCTCCAAGCTCTATTGCATGCCCTAAAATGGAGAATATAAAACTTAAATTGAAGAAATGCCATTTTGCCCAAGATTCTATTGAATATCTGGGTCACAGAGTGTCGCACGGTACAGTGTCGCCTATACGAAGAAATATAGAAGCTATATTGCGATTCCCAAGACAGAAATCCCCGAAAGAGCTTCAGCGTTTTTTAGGCACCACCAACGTTTACCGCCAGTTTATACCGCACTTCAGTGACATAGTTTTCTCACTTACGAAGCTGTTCAAGAAGGACACACCATGGGAATGGGATTCCTCATGTGAACAAGCCTTTCAGAACATGAAATACTGTCTGACTAAAGAACCCATTTTACAAATTTTTTCTTGCGAGAAACCATGCATTCTTTATTGCGACGCATCTAACGTAGGCGTAGGTGCAGTTCTGAAGCAAAGAGATCATGATGGTAAAGAACACCCCGTTGCCTATCACTCGCGTAAGCTACTCGCGCACGAATTAAATTCTGCCATTACAGAGCTCGAATGCCTCGCTATAATTGACGCTGTTGACAAGTGGCACTGCTACCTACATGGACGACCATTCACTGTTGTCACCGATCATGCTGCTTTACAATGGCTCAGAAACATAAAAAACCCACATGGCCGGCTCTTTCGATGGTCTTTGAAGCTGTCGATGTATGACGTTAACATTCGACATCAAAAAGGCAGCGAAAACATCGAGGCGGAC